TTACTTACGTTACGTTTACTAAACGTAACGTACGTACGTCGTACGTACTACTAAGAACGTACGTACAACTACGTAGTTAGTGTATACGAACGAAGAGAGAGAGAGAGAGAGAGAGAGAGAGAGAGAGAGAGAGAGAGGATTTATGCGTTTCTGTTTTGATGTTCTTTTCTGAAATGATTAGGGTTCATTTTTTTTCTTCTTTCCAAATAGGACTGCCTTGTCATTTCAAAGAAGACATTCCAAAACTGTTATTTGTTGATACCCAAAAAAAAAAGTTGATGCTATTTATTTTTCCTATTTCTTCCTGTATAGGTAGTGCTTTAGTACAATATTTTGACCTGTATACATAGTTTTTGGATGCTTATGGTACTACTTTTCATTACTAGTGTCAAATTAACGTACATGCATAAGAATCCATCCTACACAAAAATGAGTCTATTGACAGTTGACTCTACATAAAGAAAGGAGATATGAAAAGAGGCCAGGATTAGTGTACTCCTTTGGCAGGCAAGTCGGCATCTGAATTCGTTTACTTGACGAGTGTGCAAGAGAACGTCACATCTTGCAGTCCCTTCCCATATTTCATTGAACTCTGGCTTCAATGCCCAAGGGATGACCTTGTTCCCTTTACTCATCGGATCACAGTCAATGAGTCGCCTTCATTAACAATGCACTGGCTAAAAACCATCTCGGAGTTTCATGCCATGTAACAAATAGTTGTCTCTGCCTTGTTGCATTATGCCTACCTCATCTCTAGTCAAACCTCCTTTACCTCTCCGCCCAGGGCTGCCTCTGGAGCTGCCACTGAAATTTAGTGTCACCATTCCTTTTGGGGAGGAGTCCATTTGTCTGATCTTCCTCTCTTTGGCATATAGCTATGGGTGATTGGTTCTAAAGTGGCCTTAAAAATCCACAACACCACAACCACAACGTTCTTTCCTCAACTTAGCGCAGGGTATGAGGTTAGCAATGAGCTTATGTTTGAGCACTTGAATATCTGCACTGAGCTCCTTGAACTCGGATTGTTTCTCTTAAGCCAGGGTTATCAAATAGTGGCAAGCAACACAAGCATCCAAAGGAGGAGAGGCCAGCTTCAGTAATGGTGGTGAGAACCATTATGTGAACAAATGTTGCGACATAACTGACTGTATATTGTACATATCCAAAACCGAGGACCACACGTCAAAGGCAACATGATAGAGAAGGAAGGGTGAGATTGATGATTACCTGCCACTTGAGATACGGCTGCATTGGTGGAGGGTGTAGGGGATTCCTTTCTCTAAAGGAGCTCAATGAGTTTCCTGATCTTGTCATTTGAGCAGCTGCCTAAGGAGTCTGTCACTTGGTGGGTGGTGAGGTTAGTTTATTGGTTGTTTGTACTGCTGACTGGCCATGCAAGGCCTGACACCTATTTTTTGTATGGCCGAATTGATTGCAATGTTCACGTTTAGGTCTAGTGGCTGTCCCCTGATTATGCATGTCCTTTATTATGTGCTACTTGGAAATTAGCAACAAAGATACGATCAGAAAGCTTTGTAACAACCCTCTTTAATTGCACTTTTCTTCTCTTTGAAGAAGAGCATAGACAACAGTGCTTGATAGTAATTTTTCCGCAATAATACCTGAGTACGAACCATCTCATAATCACCATTAAGGCCAGCCAGGAGTTCAACAAATATGTCTCTTCTTGACTTCCTTTTGCCACCCCAAAATTACAGTAGAAAACTTACATCGTGAGGGCTCATAAAAGTTTGAGTTCCTCCCACTTGCCTTTTAAGTGTTCCATAATGAAAAGAATGCTTTCCTTGAGAGCATAAGTGTATGTCCCTATACAGCTGTTACACTTGGGCACTATTATCTTTTCGATAAATTTCTATTTTAAGGTTTTACAGATTTCTTTAGAGGAATCAAGGATAGATAATCCACTTCTAATGGTTTCTTCTATAGAACTAAGAATCCATGCCATAGTATGTGAATCCCAGATCTGAAAACCCTAGGGATCCTTCTAAACTTCAAACCCTAGATCTAAAACAAAATGGGTGGAGGTACTGATCACTGTAAAGCTGCCTCTGAACGGAGAGAGAGGCATAGGAGGCGTATTGAGGCCAAACGATGGGAGTAGGGTTTTTTTGCTTATGTATTTCAAATGCATATAAGTTACTAAGGACAACTTTGTCGTACAAAAGTTACAAAAGGGCCAATCCATCACATAAAGTGACAAATCAGTACTAGAAAATGATCAAACTCCCACAGCCCATATGACTACATGTACAGAGTCAATAAATATACTTCCTATACCTTCCCTCTACCACTCTGCCCTTGACCATGTGTGTACTGATTTGTCTCTTCTTGCCTCAATATCCTCGTATTTCTTATCAAGGCAATTCTCTTGACCTTATTCTCATTGGATGGAAAATATCCTCTTTACTATATAAATGGCTCCTCATTTCTCAAGGGTGATAGGCTTTCCTATACTGAGGATCCCCAAGTCTTTTATTCCATTCTCTAATGTTGTCCTGATTGCTTAAAGTCCTTTATGCACTTTTAAACCCTCCAACCTAGATCCCGGTATTCCACGAAGTCGCTGCCTGATTTTTGGGATGGGAATGTTCAAGCATCATGTTTTCGAAGTGTAAAGGAATGGGCCTCCTTGGCTGTGCCTCGATAAAAATTATTAGGCAATTGTCCATTTCAGGCTTAGAACTGCCTGTAGTGAGATCATGATGAAATTATCTTCCCAGTTGTGGTGAATACTGATCCACAATATAAAACTTCGAAAAAGCCCTTGTTTTTTTCCACTGCAATTTCAAATTCAATGGGGTTTTTTATCATTTTGAAAATAAGGGGAAATTTGGTAAATAAAGGCAGTAGGGTGGGTTTGAAGTTTTAAAGAAGACCTTTTGAGAGAGAGACTTTCGCGAGTTTCTCTCTCTCACTCTCTCTAACCCAAGAAAACCCTAGAATTTTGGTCAATTTCATGCTACTTTTCCTAGCAAACGATACCATCCACAGTGTAAAATTTCGAATTTCCTGTGATTCTCTCTCTCTCTCGTCGTCTCTATTTCTTTATTCTGGATTTTTCCATATTTTTCTCCTTTTTTTTTTCAATTTTTTTTCAAAGGTTTTTTTTTTTTCTTCAAATTTTATGACTGGTTGATCTGTGAATTGGTCCAGTCCAACTGGACTGGTACCATCGCTGATTGGGCACTGGTCCTGTCTTAACAACATTGATCTTGTCCACTGGCTGAAATCGGTTAACCTAATTCTGCGTCCATGAGACTGAACTCATTGAGGTGGAACTTGTAATATCATTTGCACCAACTATAAAACATACAAGCATTCTAAAGTTTTAGGACCTCCTTTTCTAGGAACATATAATCATGTCATTATTCTTACTTCCAAACATTTTCGATACTTTATTGAATTTGAAACTTATGGAACTAGGTTGCCAAGGGATAAATATACAATATCTGTTGATTGATATAACTGGTAGGAATTTCATGCTTTGGTTTTTCTCTTTTGCACTGAGATTTGAAATTCTACGATTTTAGAAAATTGAATTGTTTTCAATGAATTTGCTTGTAAATCTCAATTGGATTGAAATATTTGTTTTGAGTTTAATACTTACTTTTATGAGAAAGTTGTAAGGATGTACTATTTTTAGTTGCTTCATTGTTCTGACAAAAGATATTCTATTAATATGTTACCCTTGTCTCTGGTGTTTTTTATTTTCAAGGTTGTGCCGTTTTTCCTTCAATCTTCTTTTTTATTCAATATCTCTCTTCTTCATCAATCATTTTAAATTATCCATAGAAATGTTTTAGTAATCCCCCTTATAGCAATTCGATGTGGGGATCCATTGTAGCACAATGTTTAAAGTTTCACATTCCATTGGATATGGTTTGTTAGTAGGAAATGGTATAGCAGTCTGCAATGACAGCATGAACACATCAGTCGATATTCAGCATCTTACAAAAAGTCACGAGAATGCCCTCACATGTCTCATGGATGAAATATCTATAAAACAAGGAGCATATCAGGAAGATCAAGCAGTGCAAAAAAAGGTTAGTGTCATTGTTACCTCTATCATTGAGTATTTACCAATAGGAAATCATGAACAATTTCTTTATATTCTTTCTATTGTTTAATCTTAGAGAACTTTTGGGTGGTGTACATCTCAAACTTTCTGGTTTAAACTGTTAAAGATGTGAGAGTTGTGTATGGGTGTATCTTTTTGCATTATGTTCATGTCCATGTATGTGTGTCTTCTGTATGTCTTAATGTATGTCTTTCTGTATGTGTTTATCTATTTATTCATGTATCTGAGCACGTGTCTGTGATGCTCGGATTCTTCAAAATAGTCAATATGTCTATTTGTTCTATCGTGCATCATATGTACATGCTTGCATGCACATGTACATACGTATGCGTTACCTAGGTATGTATCTACATATTTAGGTATCTATACATTTAGGTATTCTCATTTGTACATATATAAGTATGTGGGAATGTAGTGACTGTGCTGTACTTGATGTATTTGATATTCTTCAAATATAGATATGCTAAAAAAACTCAGGCCACAATTTGAATATGGTATTGCATATCTCATTGATTCACACCTTAGCTGAAGAGAAATTGAATTTAAGCCATCAAGATGACCTTTACGTCCCTCACTGTCGACTACTTTGCACATGACTTAACCACCTTCCATACTTAACCAAATAATATTTATTTCCTGTGAGATACACAAAACTGATTGTGGGGTTCAAACTAAAATGGAAAAAGTGGAATTTTATCGATGTAGAAGAAATGTTCTAAGAAATTTGATTAATATTATGTGTTGGTCCATGTCAAATAGCATTGGGGTTTCTAGTCTTTGTCGCACATGATGATCATAACCAATGGATGGTTTTATAATCTTGAGAATCCATGGCATTACGTAAACAATTGATATCTTGTTCTCCGGTCTTGGTGTTTGGCTGCATAATTTGGATCTGTTGGAGATGGGCAGCGACCTTTGACCTATCCCCATGGGTGTTTTCTTTCCAGTCCATGTTGACTGATAATCCCAGGAAATAGATTGAAAAGCTTACAATTATTCTTTGAGAATGACAATACGATTATATTGGTCCGTGACGCGAGAGATATGCCTAAACAAATAAAGGACAGAAAATAAACAATAAAACTAACTTTGCTCTCTTTTTGTGGTAAGGGAAAACATGACACATTTTTCGTATTTCAACATCTATGCTATAAATTCATTAGTTCATAGTTATCTTGTATACAAACATGCCTGCCACTGTGCGTGAAGTGATTATGAATGTGTTTATGTCAACACTCTCCCTGGTCATTCTTTTCCATTTTACACAAGTGAGCCACTAAAGAATAGATGCACCCCTGCTGCTGAAGCAATGTCTCCAAAGCAGCTTTCAAGCAGGGAGTTATCTCTGCTATTGACCATTAGTCCATGATGATGCATGAATTTCATATGTTGAACTATTTATACATTATGTAAATTTGAATATTGTGATTCCAACTGCCATTGTTCAGATTTCGGAACAAAGTGTTATGAAGCTTGTCTTACCACTTTACTTATGTTCAGATATAACCCATGCTCACCAATACGAGGGGTGTATGATCTATACTGGGGAAAAATAAAAAAAAATGAAAAACTAAGTGTAGAACCTTGGAAGTGATAACTGGAATTATAGTCCAAGGTATATGCTAACTCGTGATCTCAGTTGTTTGATTTGCAAATGACAAGTAGCAAGGGACAGTTGGTTATTTTCCATGCAGTTCATATGTTTTGCATTAAGCTAGAGACCATCATAATCCTGATAATGTGCAGATCCTACAAGAACTAGCTCAACAGGAGAAAAGGATTTTGCTCATTGAGGCAGTTGCAAAGGAATCGGAAGAGTTGCAGGCTGTATCAATATATCCTTTTCGAACATGGCCATTGATTTCTTCATCTTGCTTCTCAGTTATTTTGGACTCCCCGTGACTTTTCTTTGACATTTAACAAGCAGACTGCAGAGCTGGAGAAAGTCTACACATCTCTTGGAGACAAGTTGCAGACAAAGTTTAGATGTCCACGCTGCAATCTTGATAATATAGGGCAGTTGGGGGAGACTTTCGGTGGAGCTTAGACATCATGCCACAGACTTATGGGATCCTGGTATGGTTTTCTTTTTTTCTTTTTGCCTTTTTTCTTTTTTGGGGATTAGTGATCATGGTAAGCATTTCATGAGAGAACCGTATGGAGAGATTAGCCAGTTTCATTTGTTCAGATTAGATTTCTTGTATACGTATTGGGGATTATACTGCTAGCAAGACTTAATTTGTTTCTCTTTGATTCTCTCTTCTTTCTGTTTTCATGATTTGCGATATGCATGTAATAATGTGTAGCTAACTGGAATTAGGATCATGCCTCTGGCAAACAGGTTCAGGCCTGACATTGTTGCTCATTTTTCATGCTACTAAGAATCTGAACCAAAACTTTTGTCTTCAGAGAAACTAGTTGATGCTTGAAAATCTTTGTGGTTGAACTCAATATTTGGTACTCCTGGCTGCACACCTCATGGTTTGAATATAATTTTTAGGTACTTGATAATCAGAAAAGTATTTTGTAAAGTTGCGGCTTTATATGGTTGCACCTCAAATCTCACTTGAAAATGCAAATTCATCATTGACAATCCTGCATATTATTTATTTCTTCTGTGAGGATTATTGATCTAAATAAAAGGTTTTCAAGCTCTAAAATGGTTAATCTTGTAACATTTTTGTCAAACTGCCTATTTCAAATTTTCACATATCCACACTATTTTTAGAGCTTCAAATTCCATTAATCAGTAGCAGAAATCAATATGCAGGCTAGCACAAGATCTCTTGACACCATATCTCTCTGTTTTTTCTTTTTTTTTTTATTGGCTGCATTTTGTTGTGCAATCTTCCCCAATTTCATTGAACTGGGGGCTTACCAAAACCTCATCCTTAGTAAAATCACAAAGATATCCCTGAAGATATAAAATGTTTGGTTGAGAAAAACCGCCCGTTACTAACCAAAGTTACCCTAATTGGTTGAAAACAAGTAGCACCATATAGGGACTAATTTGGATGTTGCCCCAAACAGTGGTGATGACCCGTCTTGAATTGTTAGCATCTTTGTGTGCTTCTTCCTTGTTTTTTCACGTGCCATGCGCTTGTGAAACCTGGGGGATAAAGTAAAAGATGTCTGCACCTACCCCAGGTTTTTGGGTGTAGCCACCATCATTTGAACTTGTCTCCCCGTGAAACTTGTATTTTCTTAAGTGAGTAGGTTTGGATATTTGTGTGGCCGAAGCTGCAAACTTGTGTTTTTTTAATTCGGAGACAATTGTAGATATCTAATATCTTAACCCATCTTTAATTTAAAAACAATATTGATTGGTTCAAATATTGGGTTTCTCAATTTGCTCACTTGCAATTTTTTAAGTGGTATGCAGGTTTGAATATTGGATGCTAGAACATGCCTTCTAGCCAAAAAAATAATAATCTAAAGACAATGTTTTACAACTAGCGTTCCATTTAAAAGAAAACCTTGATTTGAATGTTGGGTATCCGAAGTGGGAATGATTCGGGGTAAAAAGAAAACTGGAAAAAATATAGAACCTCTCAGTGCAGTTTTGTAAATATACATAGGTTTGCACGTAAATTTCCCTTTTGAAACAAACTAAAGTATTTACTCAACCTACAAATACTCTATTTAAAGACACGCAAGAGAGAGGATGAGACATCAATTACTCGAGAGCATGAAAGATTCAAGGTGCACTAAAGAGAGGCAGAGAGCCAGCGACGATAAAGTGGAATTACCTAGAGAGATAGATGAAGGGAATGTTACAGGTTGAAGACAAAAATGGATGCTTGAAGGGATAATAAGAGATGTGGAGCATTTGAGAGAGCAAAAGAGATAGATTTGAGCTACGGGTATGATGGAGAGAGGAAGGGCGAGAGAAACTTGAATTCTAAAAAGATGGGTATCTTAGAGTAAAAGTGAGAGTCCTTCTAAAAAAATGACCGATGGTGAATAACCATTTGATGTGAAATTTGATAGATTGAGTGTCATAAAGTTCAAGAATTTTTTTTTTAACTTCATGCTTGGTCAGTGGAATAATGCAACCACCCAATTTTACATCCAAAGGTCAAGATTAAATGTGACCACGTTGTAGAAAAGATAAATGGTCTTATTGATTACATTGCGTTTCATTATAAATTCTTGAGGTGGATAAAGCCTTTTTTTTGTTTTTCCATCTTTTGTTTTGTTAGCATGTATCGGTTAGGATTGTATACAATGAGACAATTTACTTATGGTACAAGGAGGTTACAATTGCTCATAACCATCCGATGTGAAATTTGATAGCTTGAGTGTCACAAAGTTCAAAGAAATTTCGCTTGAACTTTATGCTTGGTCAGTGGAATAAATGCAACCACCCAATTTTACATCCAAATGTCAAGATTAAATGTAACCACATTGTATAATAGATAAAAGAAAAAGTTTATATAAAGTTGCAACCTTAAAATGTAAAACTACGGATGCACCTCAAAAATCATCGGAAAAGGTTGTTTTAATGTTGAAAAACCCTTTGATTGATCATCTCGACATCGAGATGCATGACTATAAAAAAAATAAAATACATTGTCCATTTTCAATATTTTCATATGTTTATAGATCTACTTGATTTTAACCATTTTTTAAATTTTAAAATTTACAATTAGATATAAAAATAGATTTTAAGATAATCCTAAGAATATTTTACATTAAAATCATATATTATAATAAAATTTGAAGGTGGACCCTAATTGGATTGTTTAAGATTGCAACCTTATGGAAACCACACCCATAGATAAACGGTCTCATTTTTTATTTTTTTTTTCGTCTTGTTTTTAGTTGGCATTTATCGGCTAAGAATAACCGCTTTTTTGTTTCCTTAGAATGTATCGGCTAAGAATAACCGAGACATATATGGAATGGCCTATAGGTGAATGCCGCGGAATTGTACTTTGCCAAAGATTTTACAGGAATGACACTAGATGAGGCAAGCACATCAAAGACCATGAAAATACAATGCAAATTTCATAAAAATTATATAGATATTGGATTTCGGAAAGGCTGCCTGTTACAATTTATATCCAACTTGTAGTCAAAATAAGAGGAAAACCTTCCTATCAACTTCTCTAAAAGTACAAGACAGGAGAATTTGAGAACTAGATAAGGAAATGGGATCTACTGAACATAACCTAACACCTTTGCTTATGCCTTGTTCACTCCTACTCCCAAAGTTGCATGATACTCTCAGCCATGTTCTGTGACTCGCCCGAGTCAAATCGGATTCGGACAAGTTACTTGGACTTGCCTGTAGGGTAAGTCCAAGTAGGGTGTACATAACGCATTTTT